AGAAGAACCCCCCCCCCCCCTCCCCATTTTGTTCGCACCGCCGAGCTCCTGCGCGTCCTTTCGCTTTCTTTTGCCCGCCCGGAGAATTCCCCCGTCGGGAGGGGAGTTGGAAAGGGGTGGGAGCGTGTGTGTGTGTGTGTGTGTGTGTGTGTTGGAGGGGGGGGGCTAAGTTCTGGGACCGGAGGGGGGGGGAGAGCTCTCCCTCCCTCCCTCCCTCCCTCGAAGGTTTGACGTCTTTATTGTTTAGGGGAGGGGCGGGGGAGGGAGGAAGAAGAGGCGCGAAGCCTGCGCTGACTTCTCGCATCCCTTCCGCGCAGCGCTGGTTCTCTCTCTCTCTGCGCCCCCCCCCTCCCCGCGCCGCTTTCAGCCCGGGGGGGGAGGGGGCGGGGGGGCGCGGCGGGGGCGGGGCCCCGGCGGGCGTGTCCAAGGTCCGGCCCAGCCAATGAGCGCCGCGCCTCCCTTTTGCCCGCATTGAGCCGAGCGAGCGAGAGCCCCCGCCAAGCGCCGGGCAGCAGCCGGGGAAGCGGCGGGCGCGGAACGGCGGCGGCGGCGGCGGGGGGGGTGGGGGGAACCAGGCAGGCAGGCGAGCGAGCGAGCGAGCGGCCGCTTTGGCGCAAGATCGGCGCGCTCCTCCTTCCCCCGCGGGGCTCCGCATCCCGGCCCCTGGTGTAGCCGGCCGGGGGCGATGGATCTCGGCGTCTACCAGCTGCGGCACTTCTCCATTTCCTTCCTTTCCTCCTTGCTGGGCACCGACAGCGCCGCGCTCAGCCTCGACAGTAGGTAAAAGCCCTCGGCTCTGCCCTGGCCCGGCGCCTTGCCGTTGTCCCCGTCCCCGCTCCCCTTCCTCCAGGGCAGGCTGGACGGAGCCTGACAGCTCCGGCCGAGAGCGGAGGAAAGCCGGAGGGAGGAGAGAGAGAGACCCGGGAAGGCGGGGGGGGGGGGAGGCTTCCAGACCTCGCCCAAGCTCGGCCGCTGCTAACGTGGGCTTCTCCTCCTCCTCCTCCTCCTCCCCGTTTGTGTCTTGCAGCTCCTCCGGGGCCAGCGTGGTCGCCATCGACAACAAGATCGAGCAAGCCATGGTAGGTAACCTGGGGAGGGGGCGACCCCCGGGGAGGATGGGTCGGGGGGCGCCTCTCCCTCCCGTCGCGCTGCAGAGCCGCCGATGCGCGCTCGCTCCCCTTTTTGCGACCGTTTCTTCGTGGGGCCCGCACGGACCGACACACACACACACACACACACTTTTGCATCAGCCCCAAAGCAGGTGGGGGGGGGAGGAGAAAGCCCTTAATTCCGGGGTGGGGGGGAGGAAGAGGAGGAGAAAAGGAGGAAGGGGGCACCCCTTTGATCTGCAGATGGATGGATGGATTGGTCGTCTAGTCCGTACCCCCCCCCCGTTATTTTTTTTCCTTCCTTTTTATATTTATATTTATTATTATGATTCTCTGGTTTCTCGTCCCCTCCCTCCAATTTCCACTGTGTGCTTTTGTTGTTGGAATGCTGCAAGGAGCCCCATCTCCAGGGAACCTCCTCCTCCTCTTCCTCCTCCTCCTCCTCTCACCTCTGTTGCTAGGCAAACTTGAAGTATAACCCTCCCCCCCTCCCCGCGCTATAAATAGGGCGGCCCCGCGGATTGGCTGAAGGATCAGCTAGGGAGGCGGTCTTCCTGGCCCGGGGTTGACGTCAGAGGGGTTGGCGGGGGGGGGGAAATGCGGCAAGCAACCTTACCCCCCCCCACACACACACACATCCCTCCCTCCCCTCCTTCCTTCCATCAGACAGAATGAGCTGCAGCCCCGGGAGGCAGACCTAAAAGGGGGGGGGGGGGCAGGACAGGGGCACCTCGATATCCCGGAGAGGAGGGGCAGGCGAGGGGATCTGGGCCCAGAGGCTTTCCCCCCCCCCCCCCAGGGCGGGGAAAGGCCCCCTCCCTCCCTCCCTCAACCCGGCTCTGCAGCCGCCACCATCAAAATGCCCTCTCGATGCTTTCGGCCCGGAGGATCAAAGCGGGGATGCAACAACGGAGAATATCGGGCTTGTTGCATCTTTTGACCGATCCCCCAAAAAATAAAAATAAGGTTGCGTCTTCCCGGTTGAGCCGGATTGCTTTGCTGTAGAAAAACAGGCCCCCAAAAGACGCTCCGGCCCAGGTTATTGTCCTCCTTCCAGCCATTGTTCTGGCGGGACGGTTTTGCCTTGCCCCCAAAACAGGAGCGCTTTTCCTGGGAATTCAGGTAATTCCCCAAGAAACTGGGTAGGCGTGCAGGACCCCAAGAGGAGCGATCCCGTTGCTTCCGTCCCACCAATTCTGCACAATCCAGCATCCCTTTTTCTGTTTCCTACTCGGGACAAAAAGGAGGTGAGGATATCACCTACTTTAGGGGAATGAAACCTTTGCAGGAAAACAAGCCGGCTCAGGGAGCGCTGTGGACCCCAGAGGGCCCATGTCAGCACAGCCTGGCAGAAACCCTGCAGCAGAAGGGAAGTCGAGAATTAACCAGACCCAACGGCCTTGAAGGGCTGTGTTGTCTTGCAAGCCCCAAAAAACCCCCATTCAACAGGTTGGGAATCGGTAAGAGGTTTGGGGTGTCCAGTTGGACGCTCGGAACATTCTCAGCGCCCATCATCTTCCCCGCCCCCCCAAGGGTTGCAGTCAGTTTTCTCTGACCGAGTCAGTTGTTGCCCTGAGTTTTGCAAGTGGAAAGGTTTTAAACTAAGGAATTTGCAAGTGGAAAGGTTTTAAAATAAAAGAGTCCAAGGGGAAGGATTATTTAGAAGGAGAGTTGAGCTTTTGAGGCTAAATTAAAGGGATGAGGACAAATTTGGGTCCTTTATAAGCTGGTCTGTTTTTCTGCGTGTTTCCATTTCTCGCGGGCTGCTTCAAGCGGCTTTTTGTGTAGGACCCCCAATAAAGGGGAATATTTGCAGCCTGGGGTCGAAACGAAAGGGGGTCCTTGGTATTCTCTGAGCTGGGGGGGGGGGCTTCCTTGCAGACGTTTCATGACCATCATCAGTGCCTAACCCAACCTGTCACCAGTGCACTGATGATGTTCCCTAGTTGGGTCATGAAACGTCTGCAAGAAAAATGCCGAGCTCAGGGAGCACTGAGGACCCCGCAGTCGTCATCCTCCTCCTCCTCCTCCTCCTCCTCCTCCTCCTCTTTCCACAAACCCCACTCCCTTCTAGCCCTGATGAAGTTCCCTAGTTGGGTCATGAAATGTCTGCAAGGAAGCCCCCTTCCCCCAAGCTCAGAAAGCACAGGTGAGCCCCTCCTTTGCGCAGACAGAGGTGTGGAATGGGTAAAGACCCACACAAGGAGGGCGACATTCAGCGGAGGGACTCTTTGGAGGGGAAGACACACACACACACACCCTTGACAGGCCGTCGCAGAAGCCTCTGCCGAGCGGCTGGGTGGGGGGGGGCGTTGTGCGTTGGCTTACGCGCCTGTCTTTCAGGATCTGGTGAAGAGCCACCTGATGTACGCCGTGCGGGAGGAGGTCGAGGTCCTGAAAGAGCAGATCAAAGAGCTCGTGGAGAAGAACAACCAGCTGGAGCAAGAGAACAACCTGTTGAAAACCTTGGCCAGCCCGGAGCAGCTGGCCCAGTTCCAGGCGCAGCTCCAGACGAGCAATTCCCCGGCGGCGTCTTCTTCGCAAGCGCAGGGGGCGGCCCTGCCACCTTCTCAGGCCGCCCCGCAAAACTCCGGACCGCAGGCTTAGATCAGCCCCCAAGTCCCCAACTTCTCTCGAGGAGATTTCGGCACCCTTGGATTCCGCCGAGGCTGGACTGCAGGGATCCCAGCTAGTCTCTGCATGCTGTCCCTCCCTCCTCCCCTCCCTCCACCCTCCCCTCCCCAAATCACGGAGACTCTTCCTCGCTCTCTTCCCCCTCCCTCCCAACTACAACCCCCCCTCCCTCCTTGCAAAGCATGGGTTTCCTTTCCAGTATTAAAACTGTTCCAAGGAGGAAGGGGGGAGGAGGAAAGGAGAGCAGGAGAGGGTGGACATTTTTCTTTTAGGTTTACTTTTTTTGGAAATGTTGGCAGTGGGAGGGAGGATCTCGCCCCCCCCCCTCCGCCCGCCCCCCCATTCAGGGAATTTAGCACAAATGCACTGGGTGACTTGAGCGGCTTCTGCAGCGGCTGCAAAACACACACACACACACACACACAAAAGTAGGAGTGGTTTTTTTTTGGGTGTGCCTGAAGCTTCCTTATTATTTTCCCCCCCCCCCCCTTAACGATCTTCCTTCCGTGTCACGCCGCGAATGGCGGATGCAAAAAGCGTCAAGTGGGCCTGGCAACGTGAAAAGGTTGGGTGGTGGGGAATGAAAGCCCCTTCTTCTCTGGCTCTGCCCTGGGAAGAACCAAGGGGGGATAAATAAGGCAGGGGAAGAAAGAACTTTGGGGAAACTGAGGGACAGTTTTAAAAAAAAAAAGAAATTTAAAAAGGAGAAGGGAAGGAGCTTTTTGGTGCCTGCAGTCTTTAATTATTATTTTTTTTTAAAAAAAAAGCAGATGCGCACTCATTTTCTATAGCCAAGGAAGGTGTGGGAGAAAATTTAAAAAAAAAAATTAAAATATTTCTAGGAGAGGAACCGGTAGATATTAAAAAAAAAAAAATGCTGTGACATAGGATGGTCTGATGAAGGTTTGTCTGCTTAATGTATATTTGTGTATTTAGTGTATAATTACTTTGTAAAATAGGAACTGTAACTACTCCATTCAGTTGTACAGAGTGAATTTAAAAAGTATGAACTGAACCAGTTTGGATAGCGATTTTTTTTTTTCCGTTATGGTTTTTTTTTTTAAAAGAAGTTTTTTATTTTATTTTATTTTTTGACACTACGTGGATTCGATTTTGCACCTATACAGCTCTTCGGGCATCGGCTGGTGCTGCTTATTGTCAGTTGCCTTGGAAAATGAAGATATATTGAAGTCAAAACTCTGTCCTCTGCAGTTCCCGGTTAAAGCGGGTGGGGGAAGGGCAAGGATGAATTCACCAAAGCAAAAGTTATTTAAAAAAAAAGAAGAAATTCCTCACATTTTGGAGGCAGGTATACGATCTGTGTAATAAGATGCATATGTTCTTGTGCATGTTCTGGGCGATGAATTGGGAGGAAAATGGTAAAAAATACCAGTATATTTAATGATTGCACTTGTCAACTTCCAATAAAGCATACCATGTTGATATAGAAGCTGTGAGTTTGATCCTAGGTTAGAGGCAGATATTTCTTTTCTCTGGGCACTGTGAGAAGATATCTGCTGAACAAAACTCAGCGTTGGTGACAGGAAGAGCATCTGGCCACTGCTGAACAAAACTCAGCGTTGGTGACAGGAAGAGCATCCGGCCACTAAACACTCAGCTACGTTCAGCTGCCCAGATTCCATCCTGTAAGGGATTATGGGGCCATGAAAAAAAAGTTGATATAGAAGCTGGGATCTGAGGAGGATCCTTGCCTTCCGTGAGGTCAGTCAAAAGCCAGATTCAATCGGGGCTTTTGGTTTTGCAGAACCTATTTTAAAAACGGGGATAGAGCGCGTTTCATCAGCAACGATATTTAAAATCGTATTCCTACCGCGAAACGACTTCTGCCAAAGAAATGCAAATTTGGGATTTAAGCCAGAGTTCTGCTTTTACAAGGGGTAGAAAATGCAGCTCGGTCCTTCGAAAGAGGCGATGCAAAACCAAAGCGGCGATAATTGTTATAATAACCAGCCTTTTTTAAAACTGAACCTGGCTAACATTACAGTGTCTGTGCCTCAAATGGGAAGTAGAGTTTGGAGCGTCCTAAACGCATCGTTCGAGTCTCATTTGACGGATTGGTAATGCTGAGCGTTAATTTGAATGCTTTTTGCGTATGTTTGTTTGATTTATCCTTCACTAACCCCTGCAAGATGGGGGTACCAGTAATACTTTATAGGGCATCCCAGAGAAATTAAGACTTGGTTACACAGAGGAAGACAATACGGCTGAGCCATTAACCGTGTTTACAAGCAAGCATGCCTTGTGGTCTGTTCCTGGTTAGCCACGGTTAGTGATGTAAACCTGGGAATTTGACTTTGACCGGAATAAAAAAACAAAACCATGATGCCTTTTTACAAGTTCAGCTGACCGAGGGCTTCCTTCCATACTCTTCCCAGAAGTCCGAGGGACACGAAGCTTAGCTAACTAGATTAGGGATGACTCAGAAAACTTTACTGGTCAAGTCCAGCCTACAGAGATGCTCATTGTTTTGCTTGTCACTAAACAAACTTGTGTGGCTCCGTGTGATGTGCAAACCTCCTCCTCTCTGATTTGCAGCTCCAAATGGTTCAGCAGACGTTACAGGATCGCTTCTCAGAAATGCAACTGGCTTCTGTTTGCTTAATTTATCACCGTTTGTTTTTGGTTTTTTTCCCTCCTGAAAATCTGAGCCATTCATCTTAGCGCGCTTTTTGTGCAGTGGGGAAATGGTTAGCGTGTAACACCAGAGAACTGGCCCAGGACTTCACAAACCATACATGTGTTTAGGATCACCAGAAATTACCGGATTCTATAGTCAGAAGGGACTTAGAGCATGGAACCTCAGAGTTGGAAGGGGCCTTGGAGGTCTTCTAGTCTAACCCCTTGCTCAAACAGGAGACCCTATACCATTTCAGACAAATGCTTGCCCAATTTCTCCTTAAAAACCTCCAGTAATGGAGGTGAGCTCTTTTACCGATTAATTGTTCTCACTGTTAAGAAATTTCTCCTTAATTCTACTTTTGTCTTCAGTGAGACTGTGAGAGTTGTTGTCTCCATGGGATGATTATCCAGTAATTCGTATGAGTGTGCCTTCGACTTCATGTTGACTCCTGGAAACCATTTTTTTTTTCAGAAAATGGAAAGTAGGTTTCTGCTGTGGTTTGCCATTGCCTCCTTCCTAGGGCGGAGAGAGAAAGACTGGCCCAAGGTCACCCAGGTAGCTTCCTGCCTAAAGCCAGGAGTAGATCTCAAAATCCTGCATTTGTTGGCCAGTGTCTTAATCGCTACCTCATCTGGCTTTTAGTCCTGTGAAAAACCCAGTTGTCTCTCTGGAACTTTGGTTCCACTCTACAACTGTTCCTCCTGTTCAGAAATATAGTATAACAAAACTCACCCTTGGTCTTCCTGTACCCTAAACCAGTTGCTGAGAATAATTACTGCACTCTTGATTGCATGGAGCTTCCTTTGAGGCATTTGAACATAAGTTGTTTTTTTCCCCTCCTTTTTGCTAAATTTACCCTCCTTCAACAGTTTAGTTGCTATTCCCAAACCACACAACTTTGAAAAAGAAAAAAAGAGGCAATTTGCAGGGATAGAGGACAGAACCAGCTGAAATCAAAGTATTTCTGTGTAAATCTTAACTACGACTTTGGTAATTATAGCAATTTTGGTCATTTTTAACCCAATTCCAGAAGCACTTTTTTTCCTTTTCCAATTGTATTTTCGATACATGCAGTTTCCTAATTTGTTTTGTTCAGGTGTGACTGCAGCCAGGAATATGTGTTTATTCTGTGTCTTCCAACTGTGACATTAAATGTTATATTTGCACCTTTTTTTAGCCAATGGATAGTTCTTCTTGTGTAGAAAATTTACAGAAGACCAGATATTTCTCCTCGGGACAGGGTAGAGTGGATTAAGATAAATTAATGCTAATTCTGCACCTCAATCATATTCAATATATTTATTGACCTAAATCTAGAAGATATAATACTGGTACTCGTACCCTGGAAGCAGCTGTTTGATTTCTGCTTCCTGGGAAAAATAAATTTTCCAATTGCAGTGTGCCATCGAATCAGGAAGCTGGATAATGTCCTTGCTATGATCTATTGTGACGGGGGGGATATTATTTATTTTGCTACTCGTAATGCCATTGGCTTCTGCCAGTCAGAGGTCAATTTATGATTGATTTTGATGAAATGGACACAAATAAATGCTGGATTGCAATTCTTCAAACTGAGGAGACGTGAGGCAAGCATGGGATTGCAATTGTTTTGTGGGAAATACTGCTAGCTTTGGTTTTCTGGTAAAAAGACATGGAGTGTTAAAATAATAATAATAATCAGCTTCCAGTGCTATCAAAAGCTCTGTAGAATTATTTCATCATTTGCTCCTTAACAGATTTTTGCGAGAAGAAGAAGAAAAAAGGGAAGATAGTAACAAATACCGTATAAGATCTTGTTACATTTTTAGGGTAAAACATCGAATTCTAAAAATGAGAATATGTACTTAACGGTATTTTGCTGAGGAGAAATGTAACACCGGTCAAAATTGCCTTCTATGATTGGATGCTGTGAAGGATTAATGGACCGTAGAACAAGTTGGCTGTGGTTAAGAAGCGGGCTTAGAAACCAGGGGACGGTGAATTCTAGTCCCGCCTTGAAAAAAACGTATGGTATTTTGCTGAGAAGAAATATAACACCAGTCTGGATTGCTTATGATGACGGACGTGAAGGATTAGTGGACCATAGAACAATTTGTGGTTAAAATTCTGGTCTAGAAACCAGGAGACTTTGGATTCTAGTCCTGCCTTGATAAAATATGGTATTTTGCTGAGAAAAGATATAACACCAGTCTCAATTACCTGGGATGACCTGATGTTGTGAAGGATTAATGGACCAATGAACAATTTATTTGTGGTTAAAGGGCTAGCCTAGAAAAACCAGGAGGCACTGAATTCTAATCCCACCTTAGACAAGAAAGCTGGATGCGTGACTGGGACAATTTCTCTGTCCCACGGTCCAACCCATCTCCCCGGGTCCTTGTGTGGAAAATAGGAGGAAGAAGGAATATTAAGCTATATTCGTTGCCTTGAATTACAAAAATAACAAAGGTGGGATATAAATAAATAACACAAACTATTACATCAGTTGTTTTTATTTTTATAAAAAAGTTCAAAGTGGTAAACACATCCAATTCACCTTCCTATTTTCCTCGTAACGCCCCTATGAGGTGGGCCAGGCTGAAAAGAGTGATTGGTCCAAAGCCACCCAGCCAGCTTTCCTGCCAAAGGTGG